CAGTGGTACACATGCACACGCAGACACAAACACACTGTGGCTTGGCGCCTCTCCTCACGCTTTTTGGCACTCTTCCTCAGGTTCCATGCCTGTGTGCTCCAGCTTCCGTTCAGTCAGCAAGTTGGGAAGAATCCCTCATTTTTCCTCAGAATCATCTCCGACACAGCCTCCCGCTGCTACTCCATCCTCAAGGCCAAGAACGCAGGTGCACGCAGGAGCCAGAAGCCATGGGTGGTCCAGCCCCAGACACTGTGGGCTCTGGGGTCACCCACATGTTGGTGGGATGCAAGCTTCCCTGCATCTGGGCATGCTCTTGCTCCTCTCACCTACCCACCATGGGCCCTGTGGTGCCACTGTGGTGAGATCAGGATCCTCTTTCCTGGAGTTCAGAAAGTCAGGATATTGGGGAGCACTGGGCTTGGAATCATAGAGGTCTCAACACCCCAGAACTGCTCATTGGTGAGTGCTCTCTAGCCTCCTGTGAAGGGGCAGATGGTTCTCCTGACTGATACAAGCAGGAGGACACGGGGAATTGGCAGTGGCCTTCCCATGTCCTTCTGCCTTGCCCCTTTGTCACCCAGCGAGTAGGAAGTGTCTGGGTGCCTCAGCTGCCCTGTCCACGTTGATGTGTGCATCCCTGCCCCCATGTGTGATGGGGGCTCGTGCACAGACCTAGACCAGGCTGCCGGGAGGAGGAGGCTGGGCCCCTGCCGACACCCTGTGGCCCCCTTCCCATCTCCGGAGCAGAGAAGTGATAGGAGTCACCCCTCTGCTTCCCGGAGCCCTGCCCCCCCGGCTCCTAGTACTTCTTTGCAGAGTCCCCCCGCCCCCTGCCCTGGGATTCCTCTGATGAGTCTGAAATCAGGCCGGGCTGTTTCTGTGGTCCTTGGCTGGCAGCCCGACTTTATGTTGTGTTATTCCTGTTTTGGAGATTTTGTTGGGAGGGACGGAAGAGAAGTGGGGTGCTGGTGTTGGTGCAGCCCCTGAAAGGGGTTACCTCCTGCCCTTGGTCTGCCCCCTGACCTAGGCTCTGCCTGTCCTGGGCCTCAGGACACAGCAGGCAGGTCTGAGATTAATGTCCCTGTGGGAGTGCGGCAGGGGCCAGGTGGACGAGCCTTGAGCTTTCTGGTTGCCCTGCAGGAATGTCGCTGGGGGCCCCCGGTGCCATGGGCCCATTCCCTTCTGAGGCAGCACGCTGGCTCTGCCACCAGGCCTTCCTGCTCAAGCTGGCCCACCACCGAGTCACCTACAAGTGTCTGCTGGGGACACTCAAGACAAGTGAGCATGGGTGGAGGGAAGCCCCTGTCATGGAGGCCAAGGGTGACCTTGTCCACATGGCAGCAGGGGCAGTGTGGGGACATCAGGGAAATACAGATTCTAGCCCCCCTAAGTGCTGACCTGGCAGGTGGAGTGTCTGGGACCCACACTTGGAAGGTGCTACTACCCCAGTGAGCATGTGTTCCAGGGGCTGTCTGTTCTCAGGGACCTGGGGTACAGCTCGGCTGGTCTATTTCTGGCTCCCACCTCATGGGCTTTCTGGAACCTTCTGACCTGTGATCTGCCTCCCTGTATCCATCCCCACAGCCTGCATCCCTCTCTTGTCTCTCCCTCTGCACAGTTTCCTCCCCGCCTCTCCCCTGCACCGGTAGGGCTGTGTCTCTCCTTGCTGAGCCCCCAGGCCTGGAGCACCTGTACACGGTCGGGTCGGTTGGTGCTCCGTAAGCGTGGTGGCTGTCACCTGGGCCTTGTGGGAGGGCACTCGCCCCGCATCTCACCTCAGGGCAGGTCACTCAGTCATTTTCTTGCAGCCAAGATGCAGCTGGGCCGCAAGATCCCTAAGGTGACGATGGCCCTACTGGAGGCGGCCGCCGCGCCGTCCCTGCATAGGGAGTTCAAGACCATCCTGGACTGACGGCGGGAGGCCCCTGGGACCAGCTCTCAGGGTGAGCTCGGCCCCCAGCAGCTGCCATCCTGCCCACTTCTCCTTAGCTGACCTCCCTCCAGAAGGGCTGTTGGTCTCACGGGTGGGGGAGGCTCTTTGTGGCTGCTCTCCTGGGCCCGCCCCCTGTGCTGCCCCCCGGTACACTGGTGGCCCAGCTGTGTGTGTTTGGAGCCAGTGGAAGGGGGCCAGTCCCTGGGGCCCTGGGCTTGAGAGCAGAGCCCACGCAGCATGGCCCTCTAGTGGCCCAGGGTGTCAACTAGTGACAGAATTAGGCATCATGATGAGTGATGCTGGGGGATATTGGGGGGGGGGGGGTCCTCACCTACCCCCTTTGTCAAAGGGCTGTCACAGAGGACTTGGACCTTCAGGCTCAGTGATGATACCCAGAGCCCATGCAGGGGTGGCGCCAGGAGTGCCCCTGGCATGGGCTGGGCTGGGTCCTGCCGACCCACACAGTGGCCCAGGTCACGAGTCACCTGCACCTGCCCTGGGAGTACCCACAGCCATCATCTGAGCTCATTGGTTTATGGGCCCCGGGGCTTCATCCAAAGTCCACCCCAAATGAATCTTTCCCAGTCAGCGGAGTGCTGAGTCAGCTGTCGGAGGCCTGGCCTCCGGGCCTGCCCACACCATCTGTGACCTTGCTCCATGCCCCTCACTGGCGTCTGGAGTGTCCGTGCCCTGCCCACCCTGGACTCTGCCTCCTGCCTCTTCTGCTGCCTCCTGCCTCTCCTGCTAGGCCTGGCCCAGCCCCTGGCACCTGTTGCTGTTCCTGGCCCTGCTCCCAGATGGCCCCACCCTCCCACTTACCTCACCCCCGCTCCCTTCTCCCCTCTGCCCTGCCTTCTGGACCCTGCACCTGCTGGCTCTAGCATCTGGGACTTCCCCGCATCTGCCTGGATGTGAGTGGCTGAGGGTCCTGATGTCCCCTGTGGGGGCTTCTGACCTAGAGTCAACCGTGGGAGATGGATGCCCCCAACCTGCCCCACCCGTCCCCTCCTGAGAATCAGACACCCCTGACTGCTGCCACCCACTGCAATGACACTGATGTCTATCCCTGTCCTCGAACCCGCCCTTCTGTCTGGTCTCCTTCCTGGTCCTCAGTAGACCCTTCCTTGCAGCCACCGGTCTTAAGCGCTGGATCCCCACAGTTCCATGCGACTTCTGGGGGCACCAGGCACATGCAGATGAACCAAGCCCTGCAGCTGGGGTGGGGTCTCAAAGCTCTGTCCACATGGGGTGGGAGTGCTACAGGAAGGAGCTAACCTCTAGAGATTTTTCTCACTCCCTTCCAATGTCGCTCTGTTTTGTAATGCACACTGAGAAATAAAAACGTAGCTGCCATTGGTCGACCCTGGCCCGTACTGGCTCACGTGTGTTGGAGTAGAACCATCCTCTCTGGCATTTTCAGCGGCTGAATTTTTAGAACCATGCTCCCTGGTGTTTTCAGTGACTGAATTTTTGGAAAGCGACCACCAGACCTTTCTTCTGAGGGACCTCTGGGTGGACTGACCCACCTTCCTCTTGGTAGCATTGTACCATTAACCGCTTGTGCCCCCAGGAACTCATGTGAGGCGTATGATGTCTAGGATTGTAGAAATCTGAGAAAAGGTAGATTCAAGTGTGACGTGCATAAATGCATTTAGTTTATTGCGAGGTCACATGGCAAGGCATTCAGGTAAGACCTTACAGCATTCATTTAGAACCATAGAATGAGAGTTACAAGGTTAATTCGGTGCTTGGAGTCCAAATCTTAGGCGTCAGGCTTCTGCCTTAATGAGAGGGCTCGGGACTGTGGCTGGAACTCGGCCGGAGAAGTGGGCTGTAGTCAGGAAGGGCTGGCGGCACCAGGGGTTTGGATGGCACTGTCTGCTCAGGGTGGGCCAGTGTCAGTGCTGTGCTCTGCAGGGGTGTCTGAGGGCCCAGGGGAATGGGCAGGCCCTCCTTGGACGGGTGGGAGATGGTCAGCTCTGCACTAGCTGCTTGTGGGGGGAAGAGTGAGGGCTCTGAGGTGACGAGGGGGCGCAGGCGCAGCAGTGGGCCACACCCCTGAGCCCACTCGGATGCCTGAAGGGCATCACAGGGGCTGCACCCCCGCCCAGCTTCTGATTGAACAGCTGGGGGATCGAGCCAGATACTTGCATTTTTAACAAGTTCCGGGTACTGTTTTGGGCAGGCACCCAGCTGTGAACCGGGAAGAGTTGGAGCCGTGTACTGGTCTGTGAGCTGCTCTGTGTAGCGGCTTGCTCAGTCCACCAGCAGGAGTTTGAGGGGAAGCAAAGGGGGGGCAGGGTGGTGGGGGGCATGGCAGAGAGTGGCCGAGGCCACCCGGAAAGAAGGGAAATACGGAGGGGCCTGGGGTCTCTCTGACAGCAACAAGGGGGATGGCTGAGTCGGGGCAGGGTCTGCAGCCCCCCGTACAGGTGCGGCAGGTGCTACGAAGCCCAAGTGGGACACTCCTGAATGCTCCCCTCTGAGCTGCCTGCAGGTGCAAGAGTTAGGCGAGCCAGCAGGTCTCGGTCAGCACCCCCACCCTTCAGCTGTCCTCAGCTATAGAGTCACCAGGCCTCGTGGAGCAGACCTCCCCCTCTGCCCTTGGTCGCTTCTGCTGAGATGGGCTAGAGAGGCCCACACTGTCCAGACAGTGTGGCAGCAGAGTGGGCATGGGGGGGCTGGACCAGGGCCTCACAGCTGGAGGGCTCCCACCAAGAAGAGGAGCAGCCGTGTTGGGAAGGGGTTGCAGGTTTTATCTCAACAGTCTGCCCTCCTCCAGGCTTTCCGTTCTGTCCCTGCCTGGGGGTGGCACAGAGCAAGCTGGCCAAAGAGGATGAGGCGCATTTTGGCAGCTCTGTGTGATTCCCGGGGTGTGTGTGAGGAGGTCACGGAGCGTAACGGACCCCTGAGTGCCTGGGACAGGCTTCCTGTGCCAGCACGAGCCACAGGGGGCCAGAAGGAGTGAATGGCCAGTGGACACCCCTGTTGGCACGTGCGTCGAGAACCGTGAGGACCGAGACTGGAATTGATGATGGGCCTAAGTTCAACCCAGGCCTGCCAGCCTACCATAAATGCAGCATCCCACGGCAGCAGTGCCAGGCCCTGGAGGAGAAGGATGAGTAACGAGGACATGCACCTGCTGCCCCGCCCCAGCCGCACCCAGGGAGCTTTCCCATCTAAACAGAGGAAGGCCCTTGCCCGGGGTCCAGGGCAGAGGACACACAGGGGAAGGTCCAACCAAATGAGGGGCAATCCCGGGAGCCGGCGCGAGCCAAGCAGGGCTTTGAACCCGGTTCGTTCACCTTTGACCTCAGCTGACAACATGCATTTCCACCCCAGAGTAGCTGACTCAGCATCTCCATTTCAGAAGATCCCCGGTGATTCTTAGGTGCGTGTGAGATCTTCAAATGTGGGTTCTGATTCAGTGTATCCAGGGGGACGGGGATTCTCAGCAGAGGGGTGAACCACAGTGAGCGCGTCTGAAGCCCTTCAGCCAAGGCTCTTCGTAGGTGACTCAGCTTATCTGCCCACCCGGTGAGGTCAAGGACAAGGCCCGTGGGATTCCACCTGTGTGCCCAATTTCAGGGAGAGACTAGGACCTGTGGGGGACTGGCCTCAGGTCAGCACCTCAGCCACCGGTCTTCTGCGAGTTTCCTGAGTCTTCTGTCATTGAGTGCATCTTGTTCCATTTTCACTCTGGATCACTTGAACTTTTTTTTTTTAAGAGTTCCCCTCAAAGATGTGTGCTTGGATGTCACTTAACTATAAGAACGCTTCCTGATTTATCTCTTTTTGAAAGACCACTGTGGAGACTGTCAAATCTTGGGGCAAAATAACAGAGTTTAAAAAGGAAAGAAGAGTCCTATTTCTTCAGGCATCTAATCTGCACAAGGTACGAATAGGCTCACTGTGGTGGGTGCAATGGTGTCCCCCACACGTGTGCTGGCAGTCATAACGCTGCACCTGTGGGTGTAATCCCAACGGGGAACAGGATGTCTTGTATGTTACTGAGGCAGGCGGAGTGCAGGGTGTGTCTCCAATCAATCTCTTTTGAGATCTGAGATTAGTAAACAAGCCAGCAGAGGTAGGCAGTCACGTGACAACAGCCCTTCCTCTAAGGCCAACAGCAAAAGCTTTCCCCCAGAGCTGGAGCCCCGAATTCAGACGTCTAGTCTCCTAATGATGAGAAAATAGGTTTCTGTTTGATAAAGCCACCCCCTTGTGGCATTTCTGTTACAGCAGCACTAGAATACTGCTAACCAGAAGGCTGGTGGTTCAAACCCACCACCCACTCCTCGGAAGAAAGGTTGGGCAATCTACTTCCATAGTGATACCGCCTCAGAAACCCAAGGAGGGGTCACTATGAGTCGAGTCTGACTCAATGGCAAATAACAACAGAGAACTAAGACACTTGTTCCTTCAACAGGTACTTCTAGAGCAAATGGGGTTCAAATGAGAAAAGATCAAGCAAATGCAAGAGAAAGTAGGGCCACAGATGATATACCCAGGCGCCCCCCCTCCAAAAAAAGTCACTTCTCTCCCGAAGATGGCCCTCAGCCAGTGTCCCTGCCCCTCCCTCACCCACCATCACCGGAGTTTGTTCAGGGTCCCATCATATGTTTGCTCACCTAGACAGCAAAGGGCTTCTCAAGCCTTGGTGGGCTGGAGACTGGCAAAATACTGATCCCACAGATGACCAAACCTGCAACCTGGGACTGATGAGCAGGTCCCCAACAGGAGTTAAGGCTACAGATAAATAATGATAGCCAGTCAGCTGACCTTGAAATGGAGGTTTTTACTGGGCAGGCCCCGTGTGATCACAGGGTCCTTTCAAGTAGAAGAGGTGGCTGGAGAGGGAGAACCAGAGACATGGCCATGTGAGGAGGAGGACTGGTTTGAGGGTGGCAGAGGGGGCCATGAGCCAAGGAGTGTAGACAGCCTCTAGGAGCCAGAAAAGGTACAAAGCAGCGGCTTCTCCCCTGGAGCCTTCAGAAGGGACCCAGCCTTTCTGATGCCGTGACTTCAGCCCAGTGGCCATGTCAGCCTTCCACCCTACTGAGCTCTAAGATGTGTGTGGGTTTGAAGTCACCAAGTGGTAGTCATTGTTGTGGCAGCAAATGGAAAGCAAAACCGGGGTTCATTGCAAAGTGAGACCTGTCCGCCCATCTCTGGGGATTGTATTCAGGGCAGCTCCCATGCGAGGCTAGTGTGGAACAGGTGAGGTTCAGTGAGAGTCTCACCTGCCCTTCACTGTGCACCCAGTGTGGCAGCCGGGGGTCCTATTAAAACACATGCAGTGAGTCATAGGTCTGCCCATCCCTGTGTGACAGGATCACCCAAGGGTCCTGTTGGAGCACACACACAGACTCACAGGTCTGGGGCGAGTGGGGCTTCTGTGTTCCCCACAGACTCAGGCTGCTGGCTCTGGTCCTCCCCTGAGAGACAGGTGCACAGGCTGGCCTCTCCCCCTGGCCCAAGGAGACTGTGCCTGTGGGGGTTTCCAAAGCACTGGTGTGAAGGCATTTGTGCCTGGGCTTGGAGGAGGGCCTGACAGTCTCTGTGGTGGTTATGTTTGTGTGTCAACTTAGCTGGGCCTGGTTGAGTGGCTGGGCAGCTGGTGCTAGTTATTCCCCATGATGAGACTGGCAGTCAACTTCATGGTGGGATCTACCACAAGCAGCTGAGAGCTGCCTTTGGGATGTGGTCTGCTTCCTGTGTATAAGGAGAAGCCTTGGGAATGGTCTCTAGCCTATGGCATGCTTGGACCCTGCAGGTAGCCATGTTGTTGCTCAGCAGCCTGCTGTGCTCTGCATACCCTGGGACTTACAGTGGACTTAAGTTAATTGCCTGCCATGTGGATTGGTAACATCGGGACTGTGCCTTTTTCACTTGTCAACCTTGTGGCTTCTCAGCCTCAGCAGCCAACAGCTGTCTGAGTGAAGAAATGCCTCTAGCACCAGTGGGCCAGGAGCAGGAGGCAGAGCTGGACCCCAAGGTTGAGGGGCTTTCCCCCAGCCCCTAGAGCCTGGCACTTTGAACTGGACTTAAAGCCTCCAAATTGTAAGAATCAACTCCTGTTTGTTAAGGCCCTCCCATCTGTGGTATATTCCTGTCAGAGTGGCACTAGGGAACCAGAACAGTCTCCAAGATGCACCCAGATCCACTGCTTCCCCCGGTGTCCTTTCCTGCAGCCCAAGAGCATGAGGGATGCAGCCCGGGGGCTCACTTTCTTAGTGCCACAAGAATTGGAAGGACAGATTATTCTGGAAGGTCTCACTTATTCTCCTATGCAACATGAAAATCCCAGTGGCCGTGGGAGTGATGCTCATGTATGGCGTAGGGCAATTCCCTGTGTGCTAGAATAGAACTGTGCCCCGTGGGGTTTCAGAAGCAGGTCACCAGGTCTGTCTTCTCAGGTGCCTCTGAGTGGACTTGAACTTCCAGCTTTTCCATTAGCAACCGAGTGTTTTAACCGTTTGCATGACCCGGTTGATCAGTCATTCTTCCCTGTGATTTGATGTCTGAACTCTGGGAGAGAGACCACCTCACCCAGACTATGAGCCAGAAGGACTTTGCAACGTGCATAGAGAGACTCAGCCTGAGAAACACACCGTAGGGGCAGAGCTGCAAGGGGGAGAGAGAATCTGTTAATGCTGTGTGCCTGCCTGGATCCAGCAGTCCACCTTGGATCTTAACTAGACCTGAAAGCCAGTGAAAGCCTTGTTGGCTGAAGTTCGTTAGAGTTCATTTGTGTGTGTGTGTGTGTATGACAATGGTACTGACAACAGGAACAACCCATGGGGTTCAAACGAGGTGACAATAGTGAATATGAGCCAGTGCTTCTGTGCCTCGTCTCTGCACTCACTCCACTGTGTGGACTGGACTTTCTCTGTGCTGTGTCAGCCGGGCCCATGAGAAGGGAGAGTGTGGCCGGCCCCTTTTGTCCCAGGGCTGCCGCTCTGCACTTCTCAAGCCCTTCCTGCCTGGATGTCGGGGATGTGGATGGAGGAACAAAGGGCAGGACTCATCTACTGAGGACTCTCAGGACACATATCCGGCTTGCAGGGAGGCCATTCTTGAGTTAATCATATTTTAAAATAGGCAGACCTCAGAGATACTGTGGGTTCAGTCCCAGACCACTGCAATAAAGTGGATGTTGCAATAAAGCAAGACACACGATTTTTTTTTTTTTCTTTAATTTCCCAGGGCATGTAAAAGTTAGGTTCACACTATGCTGTAGTCTTAGTGTGTAATAGCATGTGAAAAAGTTTGCAGTATTGTGAGAATTGCCAGAACGTGGCACAGACATTGAATGAGAACACCCTGTTGGAGAAACGGCACTGAGAGAGTTGCTTAACGGGGTTGCCGCAAAGCTTCGATTTGTAAAAAATGCAGAGAGCAATAAAGTGAAGCGCAATAAAACGAGGTCTGTCTGTACTTAACTCCTCTGTAGGAGGGCCCTACAGTAAACTTCAGTTTACTCTGGGATCTGTCAAGGATGGTCTCAAGCACAGATACCAGAGCATTTATGTTGTTATTAGCTGTTGTCGCATCAGCCCCCACTCCATGCTCAGTGAAATGAAACATCACCCAGTCCTGCACCAGCATCACAATCGGTTGGACCTTGAAAACCAGAGGGATCTCACAGACTGTCTTTCAGAAGCAGATTGCCAGGCCTTTCTTCCTGGTCCCTCTTAGTCTGCAAGCTTTGCTGCATACACAAGCCTGCCCTGACGGAGGGTGGCTGCACGTGAGGCACACTGTCTAGGAATCGAACCCCGGTCTCCCACACAGAAGGTGAGAATTCTACTACTGAATTGCTGCTGCTTCCAAGGAGCTCTGGTAGCCTAGTGCCTAAGGCATTTGACTTCTAACCAGAAGGTTGGAGGTTCAAACCCACCAGCCACTCCTCGGAAGGAAGACTGGTCAATCTACTTCTCTAGCGATACAGCCTCAGAAACCCAAGGAGGGGTCACTGTGAATTGGAAATGACTCCACGACAGTTTGGATTTGAGTTCTGATCAGCTGGAACATCTTTCAGCACCCTGGACAGTGCCCGGCCATCTACTTTAAAAAGGTGGTTAGAAAGACATGTTGTGGTGTTTATTTGTGGCTGTTCCTATCAGAATGACACCAGAGTGGCAGCTGAGAAGCAAATCTGTGTCCAGGACCTGCTGGTGGGTGGCCACAGCGGCCAGTGAGGACTGTCATGTAAAGGAGGGAGGGAGGAAGCTCGGTCAGGTGGGGGTGAGTGAGTGCGTATGGACTTGGGGGGATGAGGGACATCCTGGTGGCTCCTTTTTATCTGTAAGGTAAGAAGAAGGTTATAGCCGAGGGGCTGTGCAGAGAGCCTGAGTCTTGGGAGGCGCCAGGTGAGGACTAAGAATGAAGGAATGAATGAATACTTGGCACTTCTGATCCCTTGCAAACAATCAAAATCTTAGTTGATAATCAAGCTTTTTGTACTCTCTGGGAAAACACAAATTTGATAGTTCAAAGAAAGTTAGAGATGACAGAATGCAGTGTTTCTCAGAGATACTTCAGGGCAGACCTCAGCCAGGCCCCCCTGACACTCTCGGGAGCTGCCGGTCCTTGGGGATCCAGCCAGCTGTCTGCCCCCTGATGACACTCACATGGGAGAAGCTGTCCTGAGATGAGAGGTGAGACTGGCCAGGGACTCACTGGGATGGTTTTGTGGACACCACACAGCCCCTGGCCCCTGAGGACACAGGCCAGTGTCCTGTGGCTGGAGGTCCCCTATGATGAATAAATTACAGTAGATGGGTCACTGTGCTTTAGGTAAAGAAAGGGGACTTTGGAAGTGAGGGGCTTTCCTTTCTGGAAAGGCCATTTTTAAGCTCAGCACAGGGGACCCCTCTTCTGCTTTGGGGATCAGCTTTGGGCTCAATTCCAGTGACTCATATGACATGGATGTCACCCAATGAAGTATGCTCACATGGACCTATGCAGAGACCCTTGGCTGGCCCTGCTGGGCAGTTTGGACCCTCTGGCTATTTTGCTGGCTGAGACTGCTCCAGGCTTCCCAAGTCAGGATGGACTTGCCCGGGTGGCAGTGTGAGGCCATGGAGGCCATGTCCTATGTGGCCTCTGGGAGCAGCATTTACACAGACTTCAAAGCCCTAATGGACCCTGGGTGGTAGAAAACTTTAACAGGGTTGCCTACTAACTGCAAGCTTGGACATTCCAGTCCATCCACAGCCTTGGATGAAACGCTTAATGATCTACTGCCAAACTGTCAGCCATGAAAACCCTATGGAAAAGTTCTATCCTGAAACACATGGGGTCACCTTGGATTGGAATCAACTCCAGAGCAGCTGGATAATGGAGCCCCAGGAGCTGTGTGCTGTGCAATTACTGCCCAGAAAGGGTCTCAACCTCCAGTCTGGAGAACCCACTGACCACAGTGATGGAACCGGGCTGCCACCTGAATGGGATGTGGAGGGTGCAAGCACTTCAGGTAATCAACAAACACGCAGGTCTTGGGTGGCAGCCAGTGTGTAATGTGGGATAGGGCTCCGTGAGCAACACATGGGGTTGGGGCCCTCTTCCCCTCAGCAGCCACAGCCATCCTGCAGCTGTGGGTGCACATCTTGCTGCTTTTGTCTTCCTCTCCGGGCAAGCAGCTGGGCCAATGCAACCGCTGGGACCCACAGGAAAGGCAGGAAAGACAGGAGCACGCAGGTGGCCTGCACCCAGCTGGGGTAAAGCTTCTCCTGCCGAGAGGGGAAGTGCTCCTGTGGACACGAGAATGGGCATCAGCTGAGCTGGCTTGGCATCCACAGCCCCCATGTCCCGGGGAGAGGACAGCATCACCAAGGAAATGGGATGCCCCACCCCCACCCCCCTGATGAAGCTGCCCCTTGCTGATAAAGGGACAGCTTTGCCTCATCCCTTCCTACGACAGGGAAGCAAGACTTCATTCAAAGTGGAAAGAGGAAAGTAGAGAAACAAGGGGCAGTGGCCACCTTGGTGGGGCTCCTCTCGGCAATGAGGGGCTGCAGTGAAAGGGCTGTGGGATGTTCTGGAACTTGGGCTGGGCCACACATGGGGACAGAGCTCTCTGGGAAAAGCTTGAACCATGGGCTGTCAGAGTCAGGGCCTATGTCAGGCACTTGGCGTGTGACTCACATGACATGGTCATGGTCACAGGAGAAAGTAATTCAAATGTGTGACAACTCTGAACTGTCACCCCTTTACCGGCTGTGGTTTCTGCTGAGGGAAGTTCCCCTTTCTAAGAATTTGGGAAGGAACTGCTCCTGGCTCAGGGGAAGGGACAGCCCTATGTGTGGGGGTGCCGAGCACTTCATGTGTGAGGACTTGAGGGGGACAGCAGGGTCCATGGGGCCAGGCTACTCAGAGTGCAGTTGGGTGGGTATGGGCTCCTTTGTTGAGAGAATCTTGTGTGACAGCATAGTCGGCTGGACTACACCATCAGTGGTGGCTCCTTGACACTTCTGTAAGCTCCGCACTCTCCCTGAGGACTGGGAATGGACACTGCGGCTGCCCACCCCTCTACCCCACTGGGAAGTGTGGTGTGAGACCAGGTCTGTGTGTTCAGACAGGGTCTCAGGTCACCAGAGTCTGAAAGCATCTGGGCCCTAGTGTCATTAACCAGACACTAAGGCCCCTGGGGCTCCTGGAGGGTCTGCTGGGATGGCTCAGGGACACTGGGGCTCCTGGACCCCTTGGGCTCCATGCCATAGGTGTCCTGTTTACATTCTGAATCTCGCCATTTGCAGGTAGGAGTGAGAAGGCCACACTGCCCATAGTGTGGGTCAGCTAGGCCTGGAGAGCACCGGGAAGGGTCCAGACCACAAGACCTGCCTAGGGCCGCCAGGTTCCCAGGACTCCAGAAGAAGGACCTACGTCTTGGGGGTTCCAGACCCTGTAGCTTGGTGTCTTCTGGGCCAGAAGCATGATGTAGGCCACAAAGATGGACAGCAGCAGGAGGGGGCTGACAAGTTTCCATGTCACCTGCCAGTAGAGGCCTGGCCGCCTCCCAGTCATCCACTCCACGTCGTTGCAGAACCTGCCCTCGGAGAGATGTGGCTTCAGGTTCTTGATCTACCCCTCCCCTCCCCCTGCTAATGGTCTTTCCCACCCACACCCACACCCTTTGTGAGGCTGGCACAAGGCTGGGCAGTGTTTCATTCTATTGTACGTAGGGTTGCTGTGAGTCAGAATGAGTCAGAACAACAACCCTTATTCTGCTGATGGCCTGTCCGTCTGCCCCCACCTCCACCCTGCTGATGGTTTGTTCCAGGCTTCAACACTCCCCTCACCTAACTTATGGTCTCTCCCACCCCCCTACTCCAACACTGTTGATAGTCTGTCCCACTTTGCCTATGGTCTGTCTACTCCTGTACCCCCACCCTGCTGATGGTCTCTCTCATCTGCCCGACACCAACCCTGCTAATGGTCTGTTCCACTTCTGTATCCCTGCCCTCCCGAAGGTGCACCCCACCCCCACTGCTGATGGTCCCTCTTGCTGCCTGTTTGCTCCTTACCCACATGCTCATCCAACACACTTGGTCAAATGTTATGAAGAAGATGTACCTGGAGCACTCATCATCCCAACTCCACACCAGCCTTTGCCTTCATGCTTTTGTGGGCAGCCACCTGAAGGGACAGCCCTTTTTGATCTGAAGGGGACTTTACATAGCAGAGCCCAGGAGGCACCCTGCCCCTGCTCCTCGGAGGGACCCCCATTCTCCCCACCTCTGGAGAGGCAGGTCCTGAGAAACTTTACTCCATGGAGTGAGAACCTTGGCTGGGAAGGGGATACTCTGGGGTCTGGGGGGTGGTTCCTGAGCTCCCACCAGGGCCTGGAGAGGGTCAGCCCACCCCACAGGCAAGTGGGTGATGAGTAGGAGGGGAGTTCGGCACTAGTGCATCCTACCCAGGCTCTCCCCTGTGAAGGGCTCTGGTTGGCCCCAAAGACCCCCCTGGCCCCAGGGGAAATGGAGGGCATGCTGATTCCAGGTGCCCACTGGCTTTGTTTCTGGAATGGGTGGAGAAGCCACCTTGGAAGCATCCTGACCCCCAGAAGGCAGGCTATGTTTGGTCTCTGAGGATGGGGAAAGAGGAGACAGCTGAGCTGGAAGTACCTGGGACAAATGGTAGCTACTGCAGAGATGGGGAGGAGGTGCCCACTTGGACAGGGGCATCCACTGAGCCTAAAAGGCCAGAGTGGGGAGTGTCCAGGGAGTCAGCAGGGCCCTGGGTGTGGGCCACAAAGTTCCTGCAGACCTTGTTTGTCCAGGTTCAGTGGTCTGGGCATACCTGGTCAGGTGGATTAAAGCCCACCTGTGTGCACTTTCACAAAGGTGACTAGTAAGTTGCCACATTGGGAACTGTGGTAGTTGAGGTTGTGTGTCAACTTGGCCATGCATGGTTGAGTGGCTGGGCAGCTGGATGTAGTATTCCCCATGATAAGACTGGTAATCAACTCCATGTTGGAACCTACTGTGAGCAGCTAAGTAGCTGCCTTAGGGATATGATCTACTTCCTCTATATAAGAAGCATCTTTGGGAATGGTATCTAGCTTATGGCATGCTTGAACCCTGCATGTAGCCATGCCATTTATCACCAGCCTTCCATGCTCTGCTGATCTTGGGACTTTTAATGGACTTAACAGCCTGCTCGGTGGTTTGGTGATATTGGGACTGTGTTTTATTACTTGTTAACCTTGGGCTTGTCACTTTCAGCAGCCAGGAACTGTCTGAGTGAAGAAAAGCCTCCAGCTTCAGTGGGCTGGGAGCAGGAGGCAGAGCTGAAGACCAAGGATGAGGGGCTTTCACTTAGCCCCGAGAACCTGGCACTTTGAACTCGGACTTAAAGCCTCCAAACTATATGAGAATAAACTATTTGTTCAAGACATCCCATTTGTGGTATATTCCTGTCTGAGCAGCACTAGGTAACCAAAGCAGGGATTAAAATGCATTTTTTAAAGAAATTAAAGTGAGTACCCAGCCCCTCAATAAAATTTAAAAATGCAAAGGCACTCTACTCTCTGGATCATAACACTGCAAAAAAAAATGGAAGTACCAGAACACTCAATTGTGCTCATGAGGAAACTGTACGCAGAACAAGAGGCAGTCATTCAAATAGAACAAGGGGATGTTGTTGTTAGGAGCCATTAAGTTGGTTTCAACTCACAGAGACCCTACATACAACAGAATGAAACACTGCCTGCTCCTGCGTCATCCTCACAGTAATTGCTATGCACCCACCATGGCAGCTGCTGTGCCAGTCCATCTTTTTTTTTTTTTTGGTTAGGATTTGGGTGAAGATTTACAGAGGAAATTCACTTTTCATACAGCAGTTCACATATACTTCATCTCATGTCATTGACCAAAATTTACAATGCAGCAGCTCCCCTCCCACTTCAGTCCATCTTATTGATGGTCTTCCCCTTTTTCACTGACGCTCTACTTCACTAGCATGATAGCCTTCTCCAGAGAAGGGTCCTTTCTGACAACATGACCAAAGTATGAGAGATGAAGTCTGGACATTCTCTCTTCTAAGGAGGATTCCAACTGCACTTCTTCCAGGACAGATTTGTTAGTTCTGGCAATCTATGGTATTTTTAGTATTCTTTGCTAATGCCACAATTCAAAGACATCGATTCTTCTTTAGTCTTCCTTATTCATTGTCCAGCCTTCACATGCATATGAGGCAATCGAAAATACCATGGTTTGGGTTAGGTGCACCTTAGTCTTCAAAGTGACATCTTTGCTCTTTAACACTTTAAAGAAGTCTTTTGCAACAGATTTGCCCAGTGCAATACGATGTCTGATTTCTTGACTGCTGCTTCCATGGGTCTTGATTGTGGATCCAAGTAAAATGAAATCTATGACAACTTCAATATTTTCTCCACTTATCACATTGCTGCTTATTGGTCCAGTCGTGAGGATTTTTGTTTTCTTTATGTTGAGGTGTAATCCATACTGAAGTCTGTAGTCTTTGATCTCCATCAGTAAGTGGTTGAGGTCTTCTTCACTTTCAGCAAGCATGGTTGTGTCGTCTGCATATAGCAGGTTGTTGATGATCTCCTCTGACTCTGATGCCATGTTCTTATTCATATAGTCCAGCTTCTCAAATTATTTGCTCAGCATAGAGGTTGAAAAAATATGATGAAAGGATACAACCCTGATGCATTCTCTTCTTGATTTTAAGCCATTCACTATCCCTTCATTCTGTTCGAACAACTGTCTCTTGGACTCTGCACAGGTTCCTCATGAGCATACTTAAGTGCTCTGGAATTCCCATTTTTCTCAATGTTATCCATAATTTGTTATGATCCACACAGTCAAATGCCTTTTCATAGTCAATAAAACACAGGTAAACATCTTTCTGGTATTCTTTGCTTTCACTCAAGATCCTTCTGACATCACCAATGATATCCCTCTTTCCACACCTTCTTCTTAATCTGGTTGAGTTTCTGGCACCTCCCTATCAATGTACTACTGACACCATTTTGAACATACCGTCAGAAAAATTTTACTCGCGTGTGATATTAATGATATTTTTCAATAATTTTCTCATTTGGTTTGGATCATCTTTCTTTAGAATGGGCACTAATATCGATCTCTTCCAGTTAGTTGGCCAGGTAGCTGTCTTCCAAATTTCTTGGCATAAACAAGTAAGTGCCTCCAGTGCTGCATCCATTTGTTGAAATATTTAAGTGGGTGAAGATGGTCAAACTTCATTTAAGTACTTTGGTCATGTTGTCAGAAGGGACCATTCCCTGGAGAAGGATATCATATTTGGTAAAGTAGAGGGTCATCAAAGAAGGGAAAGACCTTTAATGAAATGGATTAACACAGTGGTTGCAATGATGGATTCAAGCCTCACAATTATTGCGAGGATGGCAGAGGACCAGGCAGTGTTTTGTTCATATAGGGCTGCTGTGAGTCAGAACTGACTCGATGGCACTAACCCCAACAACACCCAACCCTTGCCTCTCTCCAAGTCTCCAGACTAAGGCACAAGCCCCAACCCTATGCACAACATGGACAGCCAAGAGCCTGGGGTTAGAGCTTAGCCTAGGGGACGGCCCCAGCCTGCTCAGTGCCCACACATCACTGAGCCTTGACTGCCTACCCATTTGTGTGTTTGTGATGGGCAACCAAGGCTGGCTAGCTGCTCTGAAAGCCCTAGGGACTGGGACATCTGGTGCTGCTTCCTTGGGGCAGAGATTCAAAGCAGAGCAGGAATAGAGCCCGTAGTGCTCCATAGGGCCTGGCCTGACGGAGGTTCTCCCAGGGCTGAACCCGGGTCTGAACTTGGGTCCTGGAGAATCACATGGCCTCTGGAAGTCTCCTGAGGCCAAGCTGGCTTTCTACCGAGCCAGGGCTTACTCTTATAGGTTGAACTGTGTCCCCCCACAATATGTGTTGTAAATCCTAACACCTTAGGAAGATTGGACAATCTACTTCCATAGAGATACTGCCTGAGAACCCAAGGAGCGGCCACTATGAGTTGGAACCCACTAAGGCAATGAGTTTGGTTGGTTTTTATACCTTTGGGTATAATCCCATTCAGGAATGGGTTTGCTTTGTTGTGTTAAGGAGACGGATGAATGTTGGCTGTGCCTTAAATCACGCTCTTTGGAGATAGAAAAGATTAAACAAAAAGCACAGATGGGGGAAGACAGATGCTGCGTCCCATGGGATCTCCAAGGATCAAGAAACAGGAAAAGAGACAAGGACCTTCCAGAGTTGACATAGAGAGAAAGCCTTCCCCTAGAGCCAGAGCCCTGAATTCAGACTAATAGCCTCCTCAGCTGTGAGAACATGAAGCTCTGTTTGCTAAGGCCACCCACTGGTGGTATTTCTGTTACAGCGGCACCAGGTAACTGTGACACGTAGTGTACCCTGGACCTTGTTAAGACCACTGATGAATGATTTGTGACATTATACTTACACAGGCAACTCCAGTCTGTCTCCAGGCCAGACCTCCTCCTTGGGGCCCAGGTCCACATTTTGAATGATCAGCTCCCCATCCTCTCCTTCCTCCCCCTCTTGGGTCCACAAGGGGACACCTTCTCCGCTGCACTGCTACCTCTCCTTTCTCTCCCTGCACCCTACCCTCCTTATGGTTCCACCTCTGGACCTCCTAAATGTCTTCTTCAGGGCTCTCCCAGCCTGGTTGGGGTTCAGGTGCACACTTTCTCCTCAGTTGCCTGGACAGCTTCCTGGCCCGATAGCTTGGCATTCCTGTCTCTCCAGGCAGGTGGTGTCCCAGCCTCGGGGAGTGTGGACCAGGGATGAGTCCCTGGTTGGTCCCCCTCCACCCTGTGCCCACAGGACATTCTGGGATCCCCTCAGAATCCAAGGGGAGGACTCAGGACCCAAGCTCCTAGGGACAATTGTTCTGGCCCAGGTGCCAGTCATCTCTGGGCATGGCTGTGGTCAGTAGTGATGTGTGAGGTGGGAGAGAGGTGGCCAGCCAGGCCAAAGGCACCAGGGCAGGATATGGGGCCCAGAGCCTGTGCCAGGCCTTCCTGATGTCACTGGATCCCTGATCCCTGGACTGTTAGGATCCCTGTAGCGGTCAGCATGACCCAGGTTTGCTCCCTGGGGCTGGAGATGGCTAACTCTGTGCCTTGGCTCCTGTAGCCATACAGAGGTGTGTCCTCCTTTAACAGTCAGAAGCCAGCGTCATGAGCTAAGGGCCTAGGACAGAGTCCCTTTGTGTGAGTCCTTGTTTGGGAAAGGAAGACCCTTGAGTCACCTCCTCCTACACCCTCAGCTCGGCTGTCCTGGGGAATAGCACTGAGCTGAAATGCACAGAGCCCATAAGCATCGAAGCCTTCAGACCCAGCCTGCAGGATACCAACCTCCCCACCAGGCCCACTGCAGCCTGCGGGCACCCCAGCAGCCTGAGCTCACCGTTTCATCCCATAGATATACACGACGCCAATGACCTCGAAGAAGGCGAAGATGATCAGGTTCAGGGAGGCGGCGTAGTTGTCAAAGATCTCAAGCCAGTAGTTCCCAGACTGCAGGGTGAAGCAGAGTGCTGACAGGAAACAGACCAGGCAGACCACCCCTGTGGGGAGCAGCAGGGACACGAGGTCAGCGTGGCCCCAGCAGCCAGGGGGGAACACGGCAGCACCCAGTCTGAGCAGAAGAGACATTCCCTCCACTCCATGGCTTCTCTCCCTGCCTCAAGCATCCCTGCCCCCACTCCCGCACCCCCTAGTTCTTTCCCTTTCTCTTTTCCCTTCCTCCAACTCTCTGTGTCTTATGCCCAAAGAGCAGAGGGCTGAGAGGCTGCAAGGCGACAGGGCCGTGAGGACAGGGTTTACAGGCGGCCTAGCATCCCACTCACCAGTCAGGACCTCCTTGGGGACTGATCTGGGCAGGACCCCCAGATCCAGGAGTGGTGTGATGACCCCCTCCATATTCCCAAACATGGACGACAAGCCCAAGGTGAACATCATTCCAAAGAAGAGCACGGCCCACCCAGGAGCCCCAGGCATGTGGATGATGGCCTCCGTGAAGACGATGAAGGCCAGGCCCGTGCCCGAGGCGCTCTGTAGCAAACAGCAGATCCTACTGTCAGTCCTGAGGCACCCTGCAGTGCACACGGAGTTCTGCAACATGCATGCCTACCCACACCTATGCGCTGCCACATGCGTGCACATTGCACTCAGCACCACACACAGCGGACACCGTGCCCTGCAACACACCGCAGCCATGTGCATGTACACAGCACCTCGAGCTCTGCAACACATACCACACTCTTTCACATGAGTGCACCCTGCACCCCTCACTGCCACACACAGGCACACAACATTCTGCATCTTGAAATGTGTGTACACAACCTGTGCTGTGCAACACACATGAACACCCACACTCTGCAACACACACACAATGTACACCATACTCTGCAGCACATGTGGACACAACACACGTGCACACAACACCCCACACTCTGCAACACATGCAAACACCATGCACTGTACTCTGCCACATGCATGCACACAACATTCTATGTCCTAAAGCATGCATGTATACAACACCTTGCACCCCGCACCACACATGTGCACCACATGCCACACTCTGCAACACATATGCACTGCCCCCTCCTGGAATCAGGGTCTTGAGGTGGCTGTCCTGCCCATTGCAGCTCTGCCCAGGTGTGCGTCTAGAAGGAAATGCACTTTTTGCCTTCCATAATTGACAGCAAGTCAGTGTCTCTGGACTTAGAGGTGGGGGCTGGTGTCCACTGGGCACCACTGGGTCAAGTGCCCATGAGACCACTGCCTCTGGGACCTGACTCCCAACTGCATACTCCCAGCCTGATGCCCAGTGCTTACTGGGTGGCTTTGTGGCTGGTACCTCCGACCTGCCCACTCTCTCTGGTCAGCCTCTGGACCTCAGGTCTGCTGGGCAGGCATAGCAGGACATGGTGCCCTGGAGGCCATAGAATGTTCTGGAAGGCTGTGGTCCCCCACCCCTTTGTAACCCCCTGGGCTGGCCTCTGCTCTGTGGAAGATGACATTAGCAGGGAAGCTTCGCCAGGTGTGGCACCAGTTTCCCGTGGACAGGCCCCTTGACTTGCACCTGGGCACTCAGGTACCTTGTCCAGGAAGTCCTCCAGGTGGCAACTCTTCAGCTGGAGCTGGGCCACATGGGCCGGCTGGGTGGCATTCAGGTAAGTGAGCAAGGCCAGGTAGTCATCCCTGGAGACGCTCTGGTCTGGGAGGTCGAAGGCATTGATGAGGCTGAGGATGTTCCTGTGGGGGTTAGTGGAGCAGGGTGAGCAAACTCATCCCAGAAGGCAATGCTGTCGGTGCTAGAAAAGCATAACAGTGTCCTGGCAGGGGGCTGTGATGGCCTGGGTGCTGGCGTGGGATTGGCACTTGGAATCTCACTGAGGGAAGGAGGAGGCCGCCCCAGGAGTCCTGGGCTCCTCACAATGAGCAGTACAGCTTCCTCACCACATGGAACCATCGTTCCCTGAGTTGGCATGGAGGTGGGGCAGCTTTGGGACTGATGGATGTAGGCTTCCGAGGGCTACAGTGTAGGACTGCAACTGGGCTCCCGCTCTTCTCACTCCCAGTGCTGGAGGTCCACCACCCACCTTCATTCCTGTCTTCAAGCTTGCGTTCAACCACAAACACCCTGGAAGGGTGATGCTCACAGCTGGGGTAGATCACAGGACACACCCTGCTCCATGGCCCCTACACTGCATGTCCACTCCTGGTGGTACCCACTCAATCCCAGCCAGGTGGCTGGTGAGGTCAGCCTAGGGCTGAGTGGGGGTGGGTGGGCCACAGGTGTCAGAGTTGAACATGGGGGGTACTTGACCCATGTGGACCCAGAGCCTCTCACTGGGAAATAACCACTTGTCCACTGTGCCCTTATTCATGTTGTGACAAGGGAAACAGATGCTGTCCTTGGATTCAGTCTTGATTTTTCACTAAGTTGGTGGGGAAGCTAGAAGGACTGTCCCTTCTGCCCTCCAGTTGGTCAGGCCATCCACAAGGTGCAGGTCCAGCAGCCTCTCTGGGTCGTTCCTGGAGAGTTCACTGCTGAGTGAGTGCCTGGCCCAGGGGCATGTGGGGGATAGCTTCGCCCTTGGAGCAGGTGGCACCTGTCCTCTGCTCCATCCATCTGTTCAGGTGATGACCAGCCCTGCTGACCAGAACATGGGCTGTCCAGGGCTTCTCAACAGCCACATTATGGGCATTTACCCTGCAATGTCCCTGCTGTGGGGAGCTCTGTGCACTCAAGGACTCTCAACAGCATGCCTGAATCCCACCCACTAGACGCCAGTAGCAACTACTCCAGCTGTGGCCAAAAAACGTCTCCAGATGTCAAAAGCCCCCAGAGGTGGGAGGCAGAATCATCCCGGCTGTTCGGGGCTGTGCCGTATACTCTGATGGATTTAACCGGATACAGCATGTCTGGAAGGTAATCTGTGAGCACCAATCAAGGGCCTCAACAATGTCATTCTACCTGGTACTCCACACGTAGGGATGAGCCTTATTGAAATAGTTCCCTAGAGCTGTTGTCACAGGTGACCATAAACGGGGTGGCTTGAGCAATAGCAATTTATCCTCTTCCGGCTCTGGAGGTCCAAGCCTGGTGTGGCAGGGCCATGCGCCCTCCGGAGCTCTGGGGAGCAGCTCCCTATGTCTTTCAGCTGCTGGTGGCGCCAGGTGCTCCTTGGCCAGGGCAGCAGTGCTCCAGCCTCTGTCTGCACACAGCCTCCTCCTGGGCTGTCGTCTCAGACCCTCTGCTGCCTTTTTCTCCTGAGGGCACTTGTCATGGATTTAGGATACACCCAGATAACCCAGGCTGGTCTTATCCTCTCAAGGTCCTGGACTGATCACATCTCCAAAAACCCTTTGCCAAAACAAGGTCTTCTGAGGTTCTGGGTGGACCTGAATTTGGAAGAACACTATGCCACCCAGTTCATGTGGGAGACAAAACAGACATCCGGCTCTTTCTCAGTCACATGGGCTTCTGAGTGCCGGGGGCTCTGTGGGGGTCACGCCCTCCCTAGGGCCAGTGTCACTGTGTGACACCCACCTGTGCAGTGCCAGTCACAGCATTCACCTGTCTGGGCAGTGCCCAGCCACATGACACTTGCCTGTCCAGGCAGTTCCTAGCTGTGATGTTCACCTGTCCCAAAAGTGCCCTGCCATGGAACTCACCTGCCTGGGTAGTGCCCGGCTGTGGTGCTCACAGGCCCAGGCAGTGACCAGGTGTGCCACTCACCTGTCCAGGCAGTGCCTGTAGTCATTGGTTGCCTTGAAACCCACGATGGAGAAGACCACAACGGAAGCATAGAGAGAGGTCATGCTGTTCACCAGGGCAATGGTCACAGCGTCCTTCTTGCAGTCATTCCTGGAGGTGCACACACACGTGTTGCCAGGACTTTCTGGGTTAGGGCCTCACTTCTGGGGAGCACACTGATCTGGGGCATGAATTTTCTGTCTCCACCACCCTCCGACCACCCCAGCACACCCTGCTCTGAAGCAGGGGTGCAGTTGGCGCCTGGACAGAGATGGGGATCTACACCTGGTGGTTTCATCCCCTCCCCCATTGTCCCTCCTCCAGTGGGAGAGTCACCAAGCACTGGCATCTTCTGATAGGGCTGTGGCCTCAAAGGAATGCTGGGACAGATGCTCTCCCAGGCTGGCCCAGGGACCTTCCTCAGCCCTGTTTCAACCCACCTTCTACTCAGACAGCTGGGACAGACGCCCTCCCAGAATAGCCCAGGGACCTTCCTTGGCCCAATTTCATCCCACCTTCCACTCCAGCCTGGTTGCTGGGGCCTCCAGAGAAATGTCTGTAGTCGGGTCACAGCCCTTGGCAAACCACCCCTCTGTCAGGGACAGCACCTCACATCCTCAGACCTTTCCAGGATGGTGCCCCATGGCTCCAGGGCCAGGGTCAAGTCACACTCTCGAAGCCCCCATGCCTGGGGACTCCTACAGGGTTTGGAGGCATCGGCATGTCTTATTTGTGGTGGGGTGAGGGGGTCTCCTTTTCTTTACTTTCTCCAGTTTTGTCTTAGGGGATTCTCGGGTACCATCCCTGCTCACTCTTGCTGCAGCCTGGCCCACCTGCTCCCAGCATGAACTGTGGGCCTGTGGCTGGCGTCAGCACAGCCCACATGCCCACAGTGCTCCTCCTCCTGGTGTGAGCCGTCAGTCCTGCCAGCTGGCTGGACCACAGGGCCCATGGACAGTAGCAGTGCCAGCCTCCTCACCCCACCTGGCCAGCTCCAAGTGGCCACTGAAACATACCTGGGGGGTTGTCCACCACCCCTCACCACCCCTTCCTGCCCCTTCCTAAGCTCCCTGCCTACAATAACCATCAGGATGGCAGTTAACCAAGGGGCAATGTGGGTATTTTAGGGTCATTTCCACATGGGAGATGAATGCAATTGTGCTTGGGATGAACGTCCAAGGCAGTGACATGTGGGATAGAAACACAGGGTCCCTGACCCCTCTGCCCCTTCCATTTCCTGCTCTTCTGTCTCTTCCCAAGATGAACAATGTGCTGACAGGGAAATTAAGTTAAGTTCTCCTACTGTTGATCACAGAGCCTTGACTGTTGAGATTCTGAGTAAGTGTACTTTGTAATGCTAAGTGCATACTATCTACGGTCTCATCAAACCAGTGTGGCCTTGAATCTGGTTTAAATCATTACGGAAGTTTACACACAGTAACTTTCTGCTTTTATGACATCATGCGATTTGCCCACAGCTACTTCTGGTATACTGTTCCTGTAATTATGTCATTGCTCCTGAGTTGTGTTATCCTGGTTTCCTGCATCAGTTCACTTCCTGCTGTCTGGTCCGGAACATGGAACATGGTAGAAGCTGCCTCCGACTGCTCTAACCTGCCCTTCAGGGGCCCTCCTGCTGTCTCCGGGGATGAGTCATTGCTACAACCCCCTGTGGCTGTGGAGCATAAAGTTCTTATCGCAAGTTCACAGGAGGTGGCTCAGGTTCCACTGGCAGGATCTGAGATAAAGAAGTGCTTGTGTGTCGCTTTCTAAGCATTAGGACCTTCGGGCTCAGCGTGCCACCCATCAAGGAAACCACACCCAAACCGGGGCTGCCTACCTGGGCGGGTTGTAACTTGCAAATGCAATGTGTCCCCCGAAGGCCAGGGACAGAGAGAAGAATATCTGGGTGGCTGCGTCGAGCCACACCCGTGGGTTCTGGAGAGTGTGCATCTAGAACAGACAGGGAGACACAGTCGCCTGCCACACACTCACTGTTCAAGACCTCTCCAGCGCCACTCTCTGGAGTGACTCTGACCTGCTCAGACCCCAAGGGTAACCTGAGACCATGGACGGAGCAGGCACACTTCAGCTGACGGTTCTTTCCGCTGTAGATGTTAACATACTCAAGGCCCTTGGACCACTTGGGCTCTGAGAGCTTGGCTGACCCAGGCTTTTTGGAGCTGGGAAATGGGTCTGAATTGGATCCTGTTCGGGTCTGC